CTTTTCTAGTTTGCTGCTAAATTAGCGTTTTTGCTTACAGATGCTAGCTTTTTGAAAATCTCCGTACCTTAGAAATCGTTAACTAACCATCTTTTCCAGGAATTTTTAATGGTGTAATGCTTAAAAATGCGATATTTTGCCAAAACTCTTCAATTTGGAATGTTTTGGTGCTTCGTTGCCGTAAAAATCATCAAACTCTTTTGTAGCTTCAATAACTTTGACGCAAGAAGCGCAAACATTGAAAATGCTCTTTTTTACTTAAAATGACGTCACAGTTCAGGCTCTTTAATTGAAACAATTTCAATGGGAAAATAGGATGACAAGATTTTGCAGAGCTGAAAAAAAGCTACTATTTGCACATGATTTGGTCGAATAAAAAAACTGGGTAGGATAATAGGAGAAACTATTAGTTTTCCTCTGAATTCTTTTCGCAACCTTATAGATTTTCGAATAATGAAAATTAAGGCGGGTCTAAGGAGGATGCCGATCTGTTAGATTTGCCTTGATCTATCTAATTAAAACCTACTTTACCGCTTTGAATAAGAAAATGTATGAGTTTTTCCCTAAACCTTAAAGATATATAAGAAAAGTTATTGAAAAGAGAAACATCTTACCATTCTTCCATGTATGGAATCTTTTCCTCCTGGGTCAGTTTTGGGTCAAACTCAATAGGGAAGTATTTCTCCCGAAGCGACTCAAACTAAAATTTGATTTTTATATTCTAAAGACATGCTTAATCACATTAAAGACCAACTTTGTCGGCCAGTTTCGGATCGAACTCCTTTGCGCAGTTGTCGAACACGCCATGAGTGGTCCAACATCGGCTTCCACGTGAGTCTTCGAATCGCGAAAGGGTATAGTCGAAGTCGGAGATGATCTACAAAAGCCTCTTTTTGCCAGAAAACTCCAACTTTCCAAGATTCCACACGAACCATTAATTTCTCTCTACCACCTTCGATCATAACCTTCAGCTTTCGTTCGACAGCCTCTCGATCGCGCATCATTACATGTGGTCGGTTAAAGATGTTGTTAAAAGTCTGTTCACTTGGAGTCCTGCAAAGAGGATACCTTATTTCTACCTTCATTCATACTGGTTCCCAAATACCTGCTGTTCTCGTCAATCACGGGAAGGGGGAAGGTGACTGGCGTTGGCATTTCGATCACTTGTACTTGCTGTTGGGTAGGCAGAGGTGCTAGCACTGGAAAAAAAAAGATTCTCGTATTGGATATGTTGTGTAAGGGATTAAATAGATCTTCTTAGTAACAGATCATGGAAAAACAGCAACGATATGAGTGAAGACCAAGCAAGTACACTTAAATAGTTTTTTTGATTTCTTCTTTATTCGTTCAAAAGAGATATGGGAGTAATACCAACTTTCAGCCATCTACCATCAATCTTTACATACTTGTCAGTTTTCCAAAATAGTAGAAAACACAGCGTCGGTAGTGCTGCGGTTGTCTATACTGTCACAGAGAATTAACATTGGGCTAGCATTACAGATTATGGATT